GCGAATACTATTCGGTTGTTTGACAGGACTATTGGGATTGTGAGGATGCCAATACATTGTAACGAGTTCCCTGCATTGTCTGCGAAGGAGTGCTGTGGATACGAGGATGATTGGCTAGGGGTGGCCCAAGCCTCGTAAGACAAGACAGCTATGCCCTGCACTACTTATACTTCCGGCTTCTGTAAGACTCGTACATCCGGATGGGATGGACCATGCCACATGTCTCACCTTGGCAATACTCAGATGCCGAGAAACCTCCCTGGGGACCCTAAACCGCCAAACCCTAAGTCCTAAACCCTAAGCCTTAAGCCCTAAACCTGATATTTCCCGTATCACCCCTATGACCCCTTTAAAAGGAACCCCTATACAACCCTTATATCCCCCTATGGTATATAAAAGGCCCGCTGGAGCAGACATCATCGACAACAACAACGCCAGAAGGCACACCTGGTGTGACAATCTTGGACCAAACGGCGTGCCTAGCCTCCAGCTTGCTAGGGTTTAGGGTTTAGGGCTTAGTGTATAGGATTCATTTTAAGTTTAGGGTTTAAGGTTTGCGTTTAAGGTTTAGGGTTAGGTTTTGTTTCATGGTTACTGGGAGTTTTCCAGACGTGGGCGTAGAAAGGCATGCGTATTCGTATGTGGCTCTGGTATGAAGCTTCATGCCAGCTAAGTAGTATTCTGCAAGTGAATTTTGGACGACATTCTCAAGTCAATGCTGAACCTTTGCCAAGACCTTGCGGGAAGGAGGAACAAAAACAACCTTGCATTTCATCCCGGCCGGCAGAAGGTCTTTGGAGTACCTGCAGTCGTCCAAACATGGCTTGAGCTAATCAAGTTCGGTTCTTGGGGAACACAAGTAGGTGGGAATGCATCCCGGATTTCGAAACTGGTTCCCGTAAAATCCCGGTATGGTAATCCCCCATAAATCAAGCTCAGTGCTTGCGTGGGCCCCTTGGCAGGGAGCCCCCAAAGACTCCTGAAACCTAAGCTCTGAAACCTAAACCGTGCCTAGGGGTTTAGGGTTTATAGGTCCCCTTAAGTAGATAGAATATGGCTTCGGGTATATTAAAATAAGATCCCCATATACCCCATATTCTATCTACTTAAGGGGGACTATAAGGTTTAGGGTCCACCACTGCGTGTTGATCACCCTTGGTTGCAGTCGCGTGAAACAGCTGTAGATGGATGAAGCCTTAAACCCCAGCCCCATTCTCCTACTACACGGCGGCGACTCTTTCAATGGCCAACTTAGTACACAACCGCTTAAACAAGAGCCCTTGGACTGTCAGATAAAACCTATAGAGTTCTTAATTTGGGGTTTCGGATCACCAAAATCACCTTATTACAGTAATAACCACGCATAAAACCCCCAGTTTCCCACTTGTTTTCCTTCTTCTTGTCCGTTGATTCCCGATTGTTGGGATAATATCCCTAAACCCGTAACTCCCGGACCCGAAACCCTTAACCCTAATCATTCAAGCCTCTACTTGGAGGCCAGGGGGGCGTAATAGGTGACGAAAGAACCCTCATGTAAACCATATAGCAGCCCTAGTTATAGTCCCCCTTAAGTAGATAGAATATAGGGTATATGGGGATCTTGTTATAATATACTCGAAAGGGGTACTATCCTCATTATCAACCTACTTACGAAGTCCACCTGACCCTCCAAGTAGAGAACCAAAGGTGTAACCCCTTCAGTGGCCAGCGCTATCTCTCAATTGGAGCCAGCGGTGGCATCGCCTCAACGTCTTGCGCGGCAAGCTGGGATTTGTACGAGGCAGCGGCCGTTCAAAGTGGGACTCTGGGTTTAGGGGTTCAGGGTTCAGGCTTTATAGGTTTTGGGTTTAGGGTTTTAGGCTTATATGGATTTAGGGTTTTAGCGTTGAGGCGTTTTGTAAGTTTAGCATTCAGGGGCTTCTATGGAGGCATTCCAAATGTTAGGGGTCCCGTTTGGGAGTCCACATGCTGAGGGACCACTGGCTTGGAGGCCGCATTTCTAGGAGGGCTATACCGTATATGCATAGACAGATAGAGGGTTTCCAACATACCCCCCCCATAATCAAAAAGCTCCAACACAGATTTGGGGGTTAATAAAGGTACCTCCGTTCCCTCTTCTAAGAGCCCCTCCCCGATTTTAGCATGGGACCTGGGACTTTGACACCTCCCAAGATTTGACCCCCATACCCTTCCTGTGCCCTGAAGGATAATGGTGGGTAGAGTAAGGCTTGCCGCGCTTATAAACTCCTAAAACCAAGAACGCCAAGCCCTACCACCAGGAGCCGGAACCCTCCCAGACTACCTACTTAGAAGTTGAAAAGATCAACTGAGGTAGAGATTTTCACCAGCTCTGGACGCCAGGATGATGTACAAGGGGAAGCGTGGGGTCTCCTAAACTGGTTTTGGGTGTTGTCTTATATAGGGTTTGGGATTTAGGGTTACTTAGGATTTCAGTTAAATTAGAGGAAGACACCTTTAAATACTGGGCATAACTCAAGGGAATCATTTAGAAGGACTGTGGGCATCGTACTTGGGAGTGCTCTTGTAGGCTCATTTCTGCGAAATGTTTTTCTTCCTAGGGGTTCAGGAGTTTTTCGTTTAAGGCCTCAAAAAAGGTGTCCTTCTCTACTCACCCAAGATTTGGTATCAGAGAATAACATAGACACCCCAAACTAATTGTTGGCAAGTAGGGAATAAAGGATAAATCCCTTGACAATTCCCTCATTCCGTATTAACTCTAACCCCTAACTAAACTCTACGTAATGTCGGGTGAATCATTATATAGCGGATGGTAATTATTAAATTCCCCTGGTGAAAGGGAATCCTGAGATTTAGTTAATTCGGCTTGCAGTGTGAACCAATGATTCGCTCCGATTTACATATTGGGCGAGCAGGGGGTGCATTTTATAAAGAGTTGATAATAAATAATGATATTCCCCGGCCTAAAAATCAGCAAAAATCATGGTTCGCAATTCCGAGCTTTCATGACTTTGACTCGCAGGCCTAAACCCCAAAATTCCCAACCGGTTTGGGGTCTCAAAGTTTAGGGTACCCAAAGCGCTGATTTTGCAACTGGTTTCAGTTGGTGCTGGCTGTCAGATCCTGGTCTCCCTGTATGCGATAACAAACCCGTATCCTGCGGATGGAAGCGTTGACCTATAAAAGCTCAAACCCGAAAATCGTGAGCAGCGGGCCTGTGCCACAATACTGAGGGTGCGCTTAAAACCTGATAGGCTGATAGGAGCCACGAATCCCAATGCAGACATGCGACACGCAATTCGCGTCGACTAATTACACGCGCCCCGCACGACGCGATTCGCAGAGCTTGCGTTCGGCACCCCCGAAACATTTGGTAGGACCTCTAAATGTGCTGTCACAGTATATGCCTTCTGTGGGTGTTTTTTTCTGCATAGGTTCGGCACATGCCTTATTTACAAGAATCTGACGTTTCCATCTAGTTAAGGCAGCTTGCTTCACTGGCTGGCTTAATTTACTCGTCGCATGACCGTGCATATTTACTATATGCACTGAAAATTCAGAGTAGTACCATCGGTGTTGGGCTCAAGGCGAGCCCTACAAGGCAATGGTACATAGGGGATAGCAAGTATCCACCGTTGAGTTTGCCGGTGGTATGGAAAGATAGTGCTGGAGCTCTGAGTCTCTGAGATCGAGGCTGAGGAAACAAGATCAGGTAGCCATCCGTTGTTGGTTGCTGTACCTGCACTTGTCAGCACCGTTAACCTTTTGGGAACCTGTCACAATGTGGCTAACATCGGTTTTGATATATTCGTTTTGTGGTGACGAAATCAGAGGCATCATGTCAATGAATCCTCATGGTCAATGAACGTCATTATCGGCCCAATCCCCTCTCCACCCACCCGCACAGACTGCCAACCTTCGCAACCCCACCCCACACATACCCACAAGAAGCACAGCGTAGCCTAGCGCATGCTAAATCGTCGTCAACCTTTCTTCCAAACGTGTCTGATCACAGTTCGGCAAAGTTTAGCAATACTGGCCCTTGCAGTAATCTTCAGAGCGCACCAAACCTCATTCACCAATAACTTAATCTGAATGTAGCAAGCAAACGAGCCAGCCTACAACACCTTGCCAAGGGCCTCTAAGACATCTCCAAGGCAAGGGGCTTCTAAAGTCCTTTTAACGGCAGAGAGCTTGGGACAGAAGTTTAAACTGCGTGAGCCAAGGACAGATCTACCCCACCGCAAACGCCCCCACAGGGTCCGACAGCAGCCATCCTGCGAGTTTGGCTGTGGATGGCAACTACGGGACCTGGGGATGTGAGGGTTTGAGGCTTGCGGTTTGGGGTTTAGGTTTTGGGGGTTGGCGTGTGGGTTTGAGGTTTGGTAACTAGAGTTTAGGTTTGGGGGTTGCGGTGTAGGGTTTGGGGTTTGGCGTTCGTTTAGGATTTAGGGTTGTTTCAAGACAATAAGTCTTGTTCATGCGGTGGTTTAGGAACGTGGTACTTCAGTTTACGTTGGCAATTAACCTGGTTTTGGCCATGATGGGATGCAGGGCTGATGGTTTGTGGATCAACTGCACCCTTCCCAGGGCCAATGGTTTTTGGTACAAAAAAGAGATTTGGCCAAGGGCGGTTTGGCGTGGTCCTTTTTGGTCTTCCGGTCCTCTAGTCTATGGTGCCTGGTCTTCCAGACCTTGTGCAAACAAATTGCATATGCCGCTATTTAGAGTATTTACTTCATGTGCCCCAGGAGTAGCAAATGCTGTTGTGACTTACAGCATTTCCTGGGCCCTTGTAGAACAAAATTTTACATGTTTATGGATACCTGAGCCCAATATCAATTAAGAAAAAGTGATCTTCTTAATTGTATTTCAATAAGAACCCAGTTTCATGCGTTCCAGGAGGTGCACGTCTGCACGCAAAACTTCAACCATGATCCAGGATGCCCATATATGTATACATATAATGTGAATCATATTCCTCCGTGTGTTCCAGGAGTTGCACATGCAACGGCTCAAACATGTCATGTGGGGACAACAACAGCAACTACAACATCGTCATCATCGTCATCATCATCATCATCATCATCACCATCGTCATCATCATCATCATCATCATCATCGTCATATGTCTGCAAATTGCCGGGGCGGGGCCCCCCAACCCCTCCGCATCTTTGAAGCCATGCATGCTGGCCTTGCGCGCCACTATCTCGGCAGTCTGTCTGCAAAGTTGGGGAGGTCATCCCAGCATCATGTCTACAAATGCCCCCAACCCTCTGATTCTTTAAGGCTGTGCGTGCTCGCCTCACGGACAGCACAACAAATTTTGGCAACATATCGTCATTATCATCATAATCGTCGTCATCTCTTTTCACATGTAGACCTGCCCGTTCCCCAACCCCGCGCTTCTTCAAAGCCGCCCGCTTCACAGAAAGGAGCATCTGGGGACTCGCTGCAGCGGGGGAGGGACGTATTATCATCATGGTGATGATCATCATCATTACAGCCTCATCGTAACCATCATCGTAGGTCTGCGAATTGGGGGGCTTCGCCCGCCCCAATTTCCCTAATTTGTTCATGCTGCTGGCGCTTACCCCACAAACCAGCATCTGGGTGGTCTCTCATCAAGCGCCACTGAAGTAAGCGCGTGCTTTCTCAATTTCATCTTACTCCCGCCCTATACCTTGTATGAGGCTAGGCAGCAGGTCCTAAACTTCAAACCCATAAGCCAGATGTGTGAGCAGCAGCCTATACAACCACAGTCTTTCCTACGTGCAAAAAGCTGCAAGAGCTGTGGCTCGCAGGGTCAAATGCTGTGATTTACAATACTTCATGCCTTCATGCTAGGACTTGTAGCTGCTGTAGTTCACAGTCCCCGATATGCTCCAGGAATTGCAAAAGCTGTAACTTACAGTGTCTCATGTTTTTGAGGACATTGCAATCGTTGCACTTCGCAATATATATCACGTGTTGCGGGAAATTTTTTCATGCGGTCAAGGAGCAACAAGTACCGTAACTTACAGTAGTAGGTTATGTGTTCCAGGAGCTGCAGTTGTTGGCAATCTGGGGCCGTGATGGTGCTCTTGCCATAGTTCCGTCCGCTTGTCGCAAAGTGCAGAACTGTCGTTGCTCTTGGCACCGTGAGGTGACTGCGCACGGTCTAGGTTTAGGATTCAGTGTTCGAGCTAGTTGCAAGCACCTCAGGAAGTCCTGGCTTAAAAGGGTCTATATAGGGGTTAGGGATTTAGAGCTTTGGTAATTTCACAGGGCAGGCTTTCGGAGCAGTAGTTTTTTTTTGGTGTGTTCTTCATTCTTTGCATGCACGCATGTGCGCAAACCTCACGCCTATCATACGTACCTTCTGTAGAGGTCTGAAGAATTGCAAGTGCAACTCCATTCGAACCCTTATACAAGCACAGTAGTATGGTAAACCCAAGCCCCATCCTAATTTAGGTTCTTACATCACAGGGTTTGGGGTTCAAGGAACTTCGAAACTTCACACCATGATCCCTTTGCGATTGTGTTGGTTCACGCAGGACATTCTGGGCGGGCGACCACGATGTTGGCATGAACCTCTTCGTTGCAATAGGCATTTAGGGTCCTAAGGCCGCGGGATTATCTTTTTTTTTTCTTCGGTTTGGTGGTTATAAAGGGACTGGACTGGGAACCCCAAGCAGGGAACCGCAAGAATATAATGGTGCGCCCTCTTTAACAAGTAGGGGTCCCCCCCCCTAACATTAGGGCCCTCTGAGAAAAGGAAATTAGGGATCCTCAATACAGCTTCTGAGCTCCCACGGTTCTGAGGTCCCTGTGATTTGATTTAAAAGTGATTGTTGAGTATCCTTCCTATATTTTTAGCCCCCCAAGATTGAAACTCATGATAGGGGGCCTTCCAATCAGTGCCCTGATCCTGAATGGGCGGGCCCCAAAACTGATTATAGGGGACCCGTTTAACAAAGGAGGTCCAACATCAATAGGAATATACCTAACAGGGTCCTTATATTCTATTTTATTCCTACTATATTATTGGGTTTCTCTGTCTGGGCTTCACAATAAAGTCCCTTTAGGTGGTGGAATAAATCCCTATTATTTTGGCCCCTAGATAATCCACAATCAAAACAACAGATTCCGTTTCTATCTTGTTTCCCGTTCAAACATTCCTTACTCTGACTTTTCCAATACAGGGCGAAGGAATCAAGATTGACGGTCTACCCTGAACTCTAGAAGCCCTAAGCCCTAAACCGCTGTGGGCTGTGGGTTCAGGTTTGAGTGCGTAGGGTTGGACTATCCTGTTAGGGCTTACAAGAGTTAGTCGCGAGCCACCCCCAGCCCTAAACGAAACGACCGCCGCAGATGGCCCGAAGACCTAAGCCTTCAGCGTTCAGCCGCCAGGTCTACATGCGACTGATCCCCCAGCATTAAAAAAACGTCCTGGTATGATCTCAGGTTTGGGATGCAGATGCAAAGCCAACAGGGTAATCCCGCAATTGCACGGGCTCAGGGTTTGTGGTGCTGAGTTTGGGATGGGCCTAGTAAACACCCGTGAGATTGAAGGTGCATCCAAACCCTAAGCCTAAAACCCTGAAATCCTAAAGCCTAAAACCCTAAAGCCTCAAACCCCAAAGCCCCAAAACTCTAAAACCCCCAAATCCCTGAAACCCTGAAACCCAGAAGCTGGAAAGATCCACTCAGCGACCCTGCAGCCAGGTTTACTGCACTCCGGGTAGTGATCCCTTCACCGATTTTGACCGGGACCAACCACGAACCCATAAGCATTCGCAAATTCCATACAAACCTTAGACATTCCCACAACCCTCCACATGATCCGACAATCCCATACTAATGATTTCAAACATGGAGCACTTAGCGCTGAAATCTTAAATTTTGGTTCCGAACCTCTACCCCAAATCTTAAATTTTGGTTCCGAACCTCTACCACAAATCCTCAATTTTACATCCCAAACTTCACTGCTCAACCCTACCCTGAATCCTAGCCCATTACTCAAGCTCCAAGTCAGCAACTATACGCTGAGAGCCTACTGGCTGTAAAGGTTTAGGGTTTAGGGTCAGGGAACGGAGAGTCCTCCTTCAAAAGGTTCAGGGAACGGAGGCATGGATCCCTATAGCCACTACATAATCCCAACGAACATTTACGTTGTGCATTTCCTTTCCTTGCCTGTGAACAAGCAGCAAGTAGCCCTAAAGCATGAAAGCTTAAGCCCGAAGCCCTGAAGCCTAAAACCTTACTACCTCAACTCCACACTATAAGCCCTAAACCCTGAACCCTTAAGCCCACACTATAAGCCCTAAGCCCTACACCCAAGAACCCTGAAACCCCCGTAGAACCCAGGAGCTGTAGCTGCTGGGATGATTCAAAGAAGGATGGGCAGCTCCTCGTGATGGAGCCTTGGCATGGGCTTTGGGTTTTAAAGCTTAGGGTTTAGGATGAAGGGCTTTACCATTCAGGATTGTTTTGGGGCTGGATGCAACAGGAGTTTTGAGGATCTTTTCGCAACCAGTTTGTCCGGTTTGTCCGTGCAGCTCCCTCTTTTGACCTTGGAGTGTTTTGCTGCCGCGTTTTATCTTGTTCCTTAAGCGTGGTCTCCCCGCACAGTGGTAACTGTTACCACAAGAAGTAATGGAACAGCAGTCATAACAGCCCGTTTGTAAAACCCCACCTTAAGGACGTTAGCTGTGAGGGGGAAGGACCCAGCTTGTGCCTTACGTTTCTGGGTTTTTTCCACGAGGTTTCGGATGTGAATTGAATTTCCTTTTGCACGGTTTCGACCCTAAGCGTTAACTCTGAAGTATAGAACGAAATTTCAGCAGACCAAATCCCAAAACCCTGAGACCTCAATCAAATCCAAAAACCTTACCACTCCTATCCCTCCTATGGTAGCATTACACGGTATAGCTCGGGAAATTTTAGGTGGGTAGTTACCAGGCAGGTACCCTTGCATAGGGCTTATATAAGGCTTATAGCCACTAGGACTATAAGTGCTAAATATGGCTTATATGGGGGAAGCTATCCACCTGATACTTCCTTAGATAGAGGAACGCACCATTCGTGAGGACGCCCTCGACGTTAGATGAGATGCTAGTTTGCCTAAATAGGTGGACCCCAATGTAGACTCGCAAAACCAAAAATCTTACTGGGACCTTGTTATGGGGACCCCCAAAAAGGTACCTCTAAGTTGGGGAAACCCTACCCGCTATAATTACAAACAACTGTATATGCCCGGCTTGCATTTGATGTTCCGTTGTCTTTTCCGTGTGATTCTCCATGATTTGGCGAATATCCCAAATTTGGGAAAACCCTAAACCCCCAAACTACATAATTCCCTGTTATAGTCCTATATCTCCTGTATAAATCCAATATGGGAAAGCCCCAAAATCTAAAACCTTCCCCGAAACGCTTCAGGATATGTCGACTCAGCAATCCGTCACACGAGCCCAGGCCTTAGTTGCTTATGAGTTATGAGTATATATGTGTTGAACAGGTTAAGGGTTTAGGGCATATGTATAGCGACCCCAAGCAGTGAATTTCAAGAATATCGCAGGCATATTTTAATAGGAACATAAGGACCCTGGTAGTTATACTCCAGTATATTCCTACTGTATTCTTGGGATTCCCTGTTTGGGGTTCCCTTTCAGGTCTCTTTCAAGAGTTTCACTGACCAGCTACCCGTGACACCTACCTAGCCCCCAAACCACAATTCCCTGTGTCACGGATGCCAGATTCCAGTTGAATCTCCTTGACCCGTGTTCGTAATCAGCCTACCTATATTCTCTGAGAAGCACCGCAACAAGCGTGTTGTGGTTGTGGGATAGTATAATTATCAAGCATGAACAACCCTAATGAGCGTCATATTGCAAAACTATAGCATAGTATGGCCGTAAACCCTACTAGCATGTCCTGATTTGGTCTTCTAGATTATCTCGGATTATGACGGGCAAGAGCCGAAAATCAGGATTGGGGCTCTCCGATCCCTGGTTTCAGGATAACCCTAAACCCATAAGCCCTTAACCCTAAACCCTAAACCCGCCAAGGTCGTCATCCGCCAGGGGGGCAATTCCGATAACTGGGCCGTCAAAAGTGTGAGATGCTTGGCATGATTCCATTGGCTCATTGTCTACGTACCCTAGTAGTACTCTTTTGCCCTTTTTATTTTGGGGTCTCCTTATTAAAGCTGAACAGTACGAAAAACGGTACTCTTATTATTAATGGGTTACTGGGAACCTTACCCCTAAACCCTTAATAGCAGTTTCCATTTCACTTTCCATTATCCCAACATAGCCCCAATATAACCCCAATACACTTTGGTAGTTTCCCTTTTCTCTTCCATTATCCCCAATATGAGCCCAATATTACTGGGTTACTGGGGAACCTAAACCCTATACCCTAAACCCTAAACAGCAGTTTCCTTTTTATTTTCCATTACCCCAACATGGCCTCAATACGACCCCTATAGTACTGGGGAACCTAAACCCCAATATAACCCCTACAATACTGGGGAACCTAAACCCTAAACCATAAATAGTAGTTTCCATTATCCCAACATAGCCCTAATATAACCCCTACAGTACTGGGGAACCTAGCTGTTGTAGCTGGCTCAAAATCGAGGCCTCTGGGGAAGAGGTTGTGCAAAACTACTCATCCTCCCAGACCTCCTAAAGGTTTCCAAAGAATGGAACCCACTCTCTCTCTCTCTCTCTCTCTCTCTCTCTATGGTTTAGGGAATTAGGGTTTTGGGGATTGGGGTTTAGGGTTAGGGTTTTAGGGTTTTAGGGTTTAGGGTTTTAGGGTTTTGGATTTTAGGGTTTAGGGTTTTAGGGTTTAGGGTTAAGTCTCTCTCTCTCTCTCTCTCGCACCGGTTCCTCATGAATCAACGAGTTTCTGAGGCAGCATGCATACACTTGTAGCAGCTGCACAGGGTTCTGCCCCCCGTACTGCATATGGAAGCCTACCAAGATGACTCCATAACTACATTGAGGAACTTTGGGGGTTATTGGGATGCTTTTTTTTGGATCAACTGCAAGCCTCCTAGCCCCATAGGCACCCAGCCGAAGAAGCCCAAAGCAGACCTGCCAATCCTCACTTCCCTAGCAGCCCTAGCATCTTCCCAGGCAGTATATATATATATATACACGCACAGACACCCACACACCCCTTGGGTACTGCCCGCACCCATTAACAACTGGATAATAGTCATAAGGCAGGACCGAACACACGCACGCCCATAAATATGCACAGAAGTGTCACGGAGTCGTACGGCGAGAGAGAGCGAGATTGATCGGAGAAAGCAATCCCATTTTCCGAAAACATTTTCACGCTGACGGACTTCCTTGAAAGGGTTTATGGGGGATATAGTCATATGGAAGTGTAGGAATGTAACAGGGATTTGTGTAGTTTGGGGGTTTGGGCTCCCAGAATCGGGTATTTAAACCCAAACATGGAGAATCAAATGGAGAAAATGGAAAATCATATGGGGCATGAACTAGCAGCTGGGATATAGGGATGAGTAGGGTTTCCTAAAAATATACGTACATGTCTGGAGGTCCCCATAGTAAGGATTCTAGTGTTTTGGGGTCGATATTGGGGCCCGATCATTCTTGGAAAGTACCATGTTCAGAATGAGGCAAACGTCATCCCTAAACCCTAAACCGCAGGGTGTAGCACAGGCACGTTGCTGCTTACGAATGCTTGACAACGTGTGCCTGTAGGTCACAGGTCTTAGGTAGCCGTGGAAGCAGACCACAATTGGAACCCTTCACAAACCCTCAATTCAGGACTCCATTGTCACGACACATATGACCTACCCTGGAACAACCCGTCCATGAGCAACCCGATTGAGATCGACATCTCCATGGCCGGGCACCAGGAGTTTAGGGTCTCAATGAATGGAATTTCTTCTGATATCTACCTTTTTCCCTGTTGGTACTCAAAGAGTCCTGCATGAACCTAAGCACTCTCAGTAGGTCAGGCAGGATTTGCCGTATCACCAGTAGCTCTTTCAGATGGGGATTGGCGTTTCAGATGCATCCGGCCATGCCGTCAGTTTGGTAAGGCACGCTTCATTGGCATTTTGACATCCTTTGCTCTCACATTGTGCTACTATTCTGAATATTCAGCCAATTGTACGATTCGTGAAATTATTGCTATCATTATTGCTTCTACTATGACGCTAGTGACGCTAGTGTACTAGTATTACTCGTACTTTTGTTTGGGTTGTACTATCAATATTGTAATCCACGGGTCAGGGCGCTGTGCAGCCGTTCCTTTGGTTTTGAATTCATCCTCCTAACTCGAAACCCAAACCTCTAGACGCTACATAAACCCAAAACTCTAAACCTTTGACCAAACATTCTAAGCCCTCAACCCACAACGCTGAACCCTTCACGCAAAACTCAAAACCCCGAACCTGTGTCAAAGCAGGGGTACCATTGGGACCCTGGGGAAACAGCAGGATCCGAAAGACATGATGTTGCTCACCGTTACAGTTGCTACAGGGTTTTAAGGGTTTAGGGTTGTAGGGTTTAATTTTTTGGGGTTCAGGGTTTAGAGGTTTAGGGTTTAAGGGCCGTTATTAGACATTGCGATATGGGGCTTTCAGTAAGAACCCTTACAGTCCTCCATCAGGCTGTAACCTCCTTGGGAACTTGTTCTTCATTCTCATTAGAGGATTACAGTAGAGGACTCCTAGAACCAACCTCCGTACGCTCCGCCCCCCTGCATTCTACAGGTTTTCCATGTATGCAGGTTTTCTGTGGCATGACCACAGGACATCTTCACCTTGTCGAAAGGCCCTAAACCCTACTGAGGTAGCCTCAAGCGGATTTGTGATATGAGCCATTGTCTAAACTCCTGGTAACCCTCTTAAAAAGCTGTTCCTAAAAGCCAGGCTGTGTTTTCTTGGTCTCTTGGCCTGGGCCCCAAATCCCTAAGCTTGAAACTGATTGGGGAGGGCACGACCACAATCGACTGCTCTGCTTCTGGCTACGCCCTGATGTAAAGGGGGCTTGGAGTTGTGGGGTTTCTGGTTTAGGGGTTCATACTTGAGTAATTATAATAATAAAAAAAAGAAGGTTATAAGTCCTAATTGGGGTTGGCCTCCTTATAGCCCCCTATGGAAGCTTTGTAACCTAAGTCCCCTGACTGTCTAAGCAAAGGATCTAGAATCTAGTCTCGTTCGACAGGCTAGCTTACTGCAAGGTGGCCACATAAAAACTACATGGGGCCGTGGGGTCTTCATTATGTGGTAGGACCAGGACAGTCCCCGAGCATGAGTTACTGGAAGTGCAACTTTGGACTGCTTCGGACACTGGATTCTGCGACGGGAGGTATGACCCAGGGTTCATGCGAGGGTATGAGCTAGGGCTTATATGAGGAAGGATTGTTGTTATTGTCTTTTTGGTGAATGTAAATAGGGTTCCTTAGGAATGTTGTTGAGTGTAGTAGGTTTTTTTTCGTGGCCAATCTGGCGAGCCATTAAAAATCCCACCATATGTGAGGTAGGATGTTGTTACAGGTTCTGTCGCTTGCAGAGAGGGTTCGCTGGGCCTGTTGGAGATTGTCATGCGTTGGTCTCCTATGACATATAAGGGTTTCGGTAAGTGCAAGTAGAGTTCCTCGGGAATGTTTCAGGTGCCCACGGAGTGTACACGGGTTGTTGCTTTGTTGGGGAGTCAAAAAAATGTGAGTCGTGCCTTAGATGAGAAACTGTAATCATTCTAGATGTTGAATACATGAAGATATGTAAGGCATGCACGTTGGCCATAGCTCTCATGAGATAACGTAGAAGCTCGATTAATTGCCACGCTAATTGCCCCGCAGTCCTTCTATCTTAAAGTTCAGTGTCCCCCAAAGCTGCATCAAGAATTACTCAGGCTCCTGCATTCGGTCATCCCCTCCATGGAATTAGCAGTTAGAAAATATGCGCTAGAGGAAAGTTAATAAGCTACGGAAATAACTCAGAAATCGGCCGGCAACAAGTTCCGAAAAGTGGTTCCACCGCTTTAGCAGAAGCTCTTTTTTGAATGGCTCGGGTTTTGGACGGATAACACCAAAGACTAGCATCCCCTTCACGGAAGCGCCGCGGAAGCACCTCAGACGAAAACGTCCGCGGAAGAGCCCGCAGAAGCACAGCGCCGGAAAACCTGCCAGCAGTCTCCGCGGAAGCTTTCCATCAATTTTTTATACTTGTTTTTGTAATTGAACTGCTCAAATGAAGCTATGTTGATAGGGTGAAAAACGAGGTGAACGCTGCCTTTGGAAGCCCACAGAATTCATGATATGATCACTTTGATCATCTTTATGTATAGTGTACTGTAGCCCGAAACCCAAATCTAATTATTGAGGCCCGTACCCTGAAAAGCCCTAAATCCTAAACCCTAGAGGCACCTACACTGCAGCTTGGGCCTGTTTAGCGTTGACTGCTGGTCTGAACTTGGCGCTGCCTCCGTAAGCCTTTGACCCCGAAATGTTTGCAAGGCTTTCAATACTTAGGGGATATAGGGGGTTACATGTATATTATATATATATATGTATACATATACCCCTACCAATAGAAGGATGCACAAGGTGTTGGGCTTCCAAAATTTCAGTGTCTTTTTTCCGGGTCTCCAGGATTCTGATTATATTATCGGTGGCCCACGAGGGAGAACCCCTTTCCTGGAAACTCCCATGAGAGCTTTCGTTTTCCCGGATGCGAACTTACAGCCCGAAAGGGTATGCCCCCCAAAAGTAATCCCTCAATCCTAAGCCCTAAATCATACATCCTAAACCCTCAAGCAGATCGAGGCACCGCTACCCTCGATCCTGCTTGGCATGATACATGCGCCTTGGCTTTCTATGCTTTGTAGGTTCAAGAAGGGTCGAGGCACATCAATGCGATCCACTGAAAAAGCCTGCCAAGTTGGTGACGGACAATGTGCAATTGTCATTGTGTCATGTCAGCACATGTCTGCACACCGGCACAGCGTTTTCAAACTACATTGCTGGTACATCCTCCACACACACATATATACATATGCATAGTGGCTGGAAGTAGTTGATGATGCTAGCAAACCACAAAAAGATAAGGGGGGGATGTTCGAAGCCGATGATTTTTCTTGTTTCCCACATATACAATGAGGGTTCAAATGCCTTCAGGTAGCCTGGTTACCTGGGGATCCTCACTTTCTGTGCAAATTCTGAATTTACAGACCAGGTTCAATCTGGAGGGCTGCCATGGAGAGCTCCAAACCCTGAAACCCAAACCCTATCATCCATCCCTCAGCGGAGCACAAGAATGTTCCGAGAAGAGGTTGATCTTACAGTTTCCCACAAATTCTTGCCCCCCCTGCTTGGAGGGTCAGGAGGACCTAGTAACTAGGCAAAAAATGGAGGCAACTAGGGCTACTGTAATTTCTAGGGTCATCAACCTACTTACTAAGATCCCTGTGACCATCCAAGTATTCAGCCGCAGCAAAGGCACTGGTGTTGCCGGTGCTTATCCGACTCAGGGCACAGTCTCCTTCATTTTGGCTGTCCTGCTGAGCGGGCTCACGATGCTGTGATTTGCGCTCCCCTGAAACCCTAGGTTGCAGAGTCGGATTTAGGAGTCGAGTCTTACACGGTTTCGATCATCTTGCTAGCAAGGCTTTGTCAATTCGGTTTCGTAGGCATTCTGCTGTCCTTCCTGTTTCGCGACGGAGCCTAGTGCGTTGAGCACGCTGTTTGAAGGCCCTGGCTGTGTGCTGATAGAGCTTCTTGTTACTGGCCAACTTCTAACACTCTATATATCCGGAAAATCTTGAGCTATCTAAAAAATGCTGAGATCTTCAGGAACCGTACTTGGACGGGCAGCAGGATTTAGTAAGTAGGCTCATAATTGGGATGACTCGGCAAGCCTAAACCCCAGACCCTAGATACTATAGTAGCTTCCTTTTTTCTTTCCCAGTATTACTCCAAAAATCCCGACCCTCCATATATTAAACCCAAAACCTGGAACTCCTGACCCTCCAGGTACTGGATCCCCTGTTTCACACCTCTGGAGCTATCGCTGGGAGCAGCTGGGGGGCAACCCGACAATTCCTAAGAGCCCAAGTGCGCCCTAGATCCTTATATACATACACAGACAGGGTCTGTATTGATGTGTAGGGATATTTGGTTTTAGGATTCATAAGTGCAAATATGGATGGTTATACACCCGGCCTAAACCCTAAACATCAAAACACAACCCACATGCGTGGAGTCATGCAAAGCCCAGTTATTCCAAAAAGGCCAATGTTTGGCAAGCCCTAGATCCTGGACACCTACCTCCAAGTCGGAACAAAGAGTTTGGGGCATGCTGGGTAGGGGTAGGCCCCCATTATAATAAGGACTGTAGTATTTAGGGAAACTACCCTCTCATGCAGCTCTGCAGTACCTTGCCGCCAAAGGCGGCCACCTATGTAGCCAATCTCTGGCTCAGTGGCATCCCGTGCATCACGGAATCTCAGATGTATCTGAGCGATCCCTTTTTCATTGAGGAAGAGCCAGTAGTTACCGGAGACAAAAAACGGTCGCACCTGTCCGGAAGTTGGGATTTAGAGACTGGACCTATCAAGAGCCGAAGTCCTCAAATTACCCCAGTGAGACTAGGGATTCCGAGTAAGCATCCAAAGCCTAACCCTAAACCTTATATAACCCCACTATAGTAGTTTCCAGTTCCGTTTCCCTTCTCCCAATGTAACCCCCTATATAACCCCAAACCCTTTCCTGGAACTCTGACTGGTTGGAAGAATAGCAGTAAGTTCACGCCACGAAGCTTAGGCAGAAAGCAATCTTTGAGGCTTATACATGTTTATGGCTATGTGTATACACATGTGCACCATGTGTGTATATGCG